CGGCTGGAAACTATTCAGGGGACAACATCTACACGATTACTCCTTAAAGGCAACTGTGACAGCATACTGGTGTCACAGCTCGACAGCACCAACACGGCCTAATGGTTACTGCCGAATAATTAAGGACAAACCGGGTGAAGCACTCCGGTTGCCAAACTAAATCCTAAGAAGCCGGGAAGTCTACTTGAGTCAAGGAGTTCGCAAGCTTGCCTATGACTCTGCTCACTCACAGGAATTCTACACTCCTTCACCCATGCTTCCTGAAAACAAGGGTCCAAATAAATCCAAAATGGACGGAAAACAGGCACAAGTTCTTGCAGGAGAAGCTCACTGCAGCTGAAAAGGATGCAAAAACAAGGGGGTTGGTGCCAAACTCTCTCAGTCAGCATCCAGTACCAACATGCAGCTGGAGCTCGCAAGAAACCAGTGACAAATAATTTTTTTTTGCAAACCGGACTGCACCCTTCAGGACGGTATACAGCCACGGTTGCTTACAGAGCACTGCAGCGACAGAGCCAGCCTCTGCCCCCGCCAATGGCGTTTGTTGAGCTGCTAGTGCCTTTGATGAGAAACAAAATGCCAGCAGGAACAACTGAAGTAAACCCCCAGGCAGGAAAGAAAACAGCCTCTCAGAAGAGGACAGTTCCCACGCCTCTGGAAGGATAAAAGAAGTGCCTGCCCAGCCCTAAACTGCGTTTTGGAGGTGGCCAGAGGAAAGACACGGCAACTGACAAAGACCGCGCCTCCAACCTCACCTTCAGACTGCCGCAGTGAAACGCAGTGCCTTACTGATACAGGATGCAGGCAGGAGACGCTCACTGCAGTCCACTTACAAGCCAAGAAGGAGACAGCCTCTCAACTTAGAGGCCTGCTTTGTACTCACCTGAAAGTGGCGTCAGCGCTTGAAACCCGCTCAGTCCTGCGGCCTAGCTTCAAGATCGTACTAAAAGAGGTTGCAGGAGAAGCTCACTACAACCTGGCGGCCGTTTCTGTACTCCAGCACCTTTCCCTCGGCTGCACAAGGGAAATTAGGTGCTGCCAAGGTTTAGGCACAAGACCCACTGGAAGCCAGCAGTCCGTTATAGTGAGGAACAGGTACAGCAGCTACGCCTCCTACCCCACAGACGCTACGCTAGCTACAGAGCCTTGAGCCGAAAACCTTGAGGCAAAATGGCTTGAGCCATCCCAATTGGCACCGACAGCCCCTCATGGCTGTAAATGGGCCGCAATGGCCCTAATGGCATGCTTGGGCTCGAATGCAGGATTTGCAAAAGTCGGTAGGGGTTTAGGGTTTAGGGCTTCTGTTCAGGGACGCCTAGAAGGTGCTGCTTGCGAGGAATGCTTTGATTTTCAACACGTGCATGCAGTCCAACTGCCAGGAAGTCAAAAAAGACGGATTTTTGGAAGCCCACATATCTACACATGTATATATATATATACATGTACATAGATACACCTATATATATATAATATGCATATATGTAGGGGGTTATACAATCCCTTTAAATGGGGCTGTCAATTTTCAGAAGCCTTCCTATGGGAAGGTGGCCTCAAACTGGTTTCTTTGTGGGAAAGTCACATTCCCCGTTTTTCCACGAAACAACTGGGGGGTCAGGGGGACTTAGTAATAACGGAACAGAAAATGGAAGCTATTCTAGTATTTAGGGTTTAGGGTTTAGGATCAGGGGGACTTAGTAAGTAGGTTCATAGTGGGGATAAACATGGGCTTTCTGTATGGCTTATAGGGGTTATTAACCTACCTACTAAGCCTCCCTGAGCCTCCAAGTTTAGGGCTCAGGGTTCAGGGTTAAGGGACTTTCCCAACCCTAAACCCTAAACCCTCAACCCCTAAACCCCAAACCCCCAAAACCTATGCCTCCCAAAACGAGGTCGTCCTTTATGCGCCTAGAAGTGAAGTCGAAGAGCAGGCCGGCAATGGACATCTCCCGGAAATTGATGGAAGCTTATTATTGTTATAACTACTACTAGTAATGGACCTATTGTTATTAGTATAGTGTATCAGTCTTATTAGTGTTGTGTTGATGTCTAGTGATATCATTCTTATGTCAAGTTTATTGTATGTCGTATCATTACTATCTTCATTTGTGTCTTAGAGTATAAGGTATTATTTAAGGTTTTGGGCTCAGGTTTTGCGGTGTTGGGTTTGGGATATGGTGTGTGAGCTTCAGGCTCGTAAGTGTGGTTGAGGGTATCCCTAGGATAGGGTTTAGGGCAAATTCTGGATATGTTTATGGGGCTTTGTATGGATTGGCTGGGCGTATGAAGGACTGTGTACCAATACGCGGACATTTGATTTTCGCATTTCCGCGGACTTCTTGCAATATGTCGGGAATATGATGCTTTCTAGCTGGATTTTGCAATTTGGTATAGCAATGCGACTTGCAGTAGCTAATAGTAGTTGTAGTGATAGGAGGAAGCGACTCCCATGCAAGCTGGGACAGAGTCCCTAAGCCCTAACCCTAAACGCTAAAATCAGCGATTTGGTCCTTTTACCGTGACCAGACATTCAGAACAACAAGTGTGCTCTCTGAGATACATGAGCTTTGGCCTAAACTCCTTAAAGGGGGGTTAGATAGGGGATTATCTTGGGGAGTAGTATAGGAGTTATGGGCAAGAAGGACCCTTGACGCTAAAGCCCCAGGATCTCAGTAGGGAAAAAGGGAATAGAATCCCTGTAGACACCCCATGTTTTCTCTATTCCCATGTTCCCTACTATAACCCCAGTATATATCCTATCATATTGTAGCAGTTTCTATTTTCTTTTCCATTATTGCTATATAACCCCTATAAAGACACTATATAATCTCAATGTAAATCCCTATATACTATATAACCATATATATTCCCTATAGAACCCCAATATAATCCCTATAATCCCTGTAGTTTCCATTTTCTTTTCCATTATCCCAATATATCCCCAATATATCCCCAATATATCCCCAATATACTATAGTAGCTCAACCCTAAACCCAATAAAACCTGTCTATACAAGCCCAATGTCCCCCAGCAAGTCCAGAAGCACAGATGCAGGCTCTTGAGCAGCTGATCAGCCTGGCCGCAGCTCGTCCGGGCATTCTGAAGCATTCTGTGGGGGTCGGTTTAGGGTTTTGGGTTTAGGAATTCGGGTTTAGGATTCAGGGTTTAGGGTCTAGGGTTCAGGATGTAGGGTTTAGGATTTAGGGTTTAGTATTTTGGGTTTAAGGTTTAGGACTTTGGGTTTAGGGTTTAGGATTTAGGGTTTAGGGTCCTGTAACGAGAACCGAATCTATGCGAGCGGTTCCCAACATACCCACATTGATCACGAAGCTTGACCTTCAACCCTGATGCAAAGGATCTAAGTGTGGGCATAGGACTTGGAGATTTTCGCATCCAGGGACCCCAGCATACAAATGGGTTACTTCCATTGAGTGATCTCATCTTCTGTAGCCTCAAATACTAGCAGCCGGATGAAGAGGGATGCCCATATAACATGAGCAGAATGTTCAGGGGAATCCCATTGCAATTCCTGGGAACTTCGGCATACTTGGAGGGTCAGGGAGACTTAGTAAGTAGGTTAATAAGCCCTATAACCCATATAGTAAGCCCATTTATCCCCAATATTAGCCTAGTTATTAAGTCCCCCTGACCTTCCAAGTATCTGATGGTCCTGTCATCATGCCACCACCAAGGAATCTCCTCTTCCGGTCGGCCATGTAGCTGCGATGCCCGATGTGCACATGGGCAAAGGTCGACAGTCCTCAACACAGGGGGCTGGACAATGAAGATTCACCAGCCAAATCAGACCCCCCACCCCCGACCCTTAGATTTTCAAAGATCGCTCAAAGTTTTCGAGTAATGCACAATTTTTTTTCGCTGAGGAGTCTCTGAATTCGCTGTTTTACCTTTAATTTTGGCGGGTTTGCTAAAATCTCGCTGCTTGAGGAAATATGAAAAAAGTTGTTGAAATGCATCGTTTTTCTTAAGAAAGTTTTCTAATCTTTCAATCAGGTACCTTCAGCCATTTTTCCTGGCTCGACCAGCGCAGTGAGGAATTGTTTACAAACCCTCTTTAAGCTGCTTTTGCTGTGGTATATAGGGATAATGGTAAAAATGGAAACTACTATCATGGGGTTAGATGCTTCTGGGGGGTTTAGGGTTTGGGGTTTAGGGTTTAGGGTTTAGGAGGTCCCAAGTTCGCTGGCAAGAGAAATCGTGAGCGCTCGGGCATGGGAAGCTGCCTTTAGGGGGGGGATATAGGGTTGTACAGCGTTAGCGTTACGTGGGGTTATGTAGGGTTTAGGCGTTTTGGTTCCCGAAGTTAGGGGCACCATTTTAGGGGGAAGTAGGTTGAAGGCAAAATTGCGGATTTCGCAAGCCTTGCGGGTGTGGGTGTCTACATTCAGACTCTGCAGAATTTGGCTCCCTAAACTCTAAACCCTAAACCCTAAACTCTGAACCCTAAGCCCTAAACCCTAAGCCCTGCTTCACAAGAAGGTGTGGCGATCGGTGCCGTCTTCGCTTCCGAGAAGTTTGTCTGTCCCAATGCCGTGGGCGTCGACATTGGCTGCGGAATCTGGGTTGCTGTTAAGGAACTTAGGGTTTAGGGTTTAGGGTTAAATTAAGTTACTACATGGGGGAAACCCTATTATTTACTATGTATACCCATTATGGTAACTTAATTTAATTTCCTTTTCAGCAACCCAGGAATGTGCGCTGTTCCTGTCGAGGGCCTCTTTAAGCAGGACCTGTCTGAGGAGAAGCTGCGGAAACTCCAAGGCTTGATAACCCCAAAATGACCATCAAAATCCTTATATTACCCCTATATAGCCCCTATATACTACTTGCTTGACCTAGAGAGGAACTTTAACCTTTTTGGGCTTCCCTTTGGGGTCTATAATAAAGTTTAAACTTTTTTTGCCTTGGCTATTGGGAAAGAGAGAGTATAGTAATTAGTTTCCATTTTCTTTTCCATTATCCCAAGATAACCCCAATATATATACATGTATGTATATCCTGTTTTTAAACTCCAAGGCTTGATAAAAGACCGGATCCCCACGTCCTTTGAGTCGCATTCGCAGCAGCTTTCCTGGGCGAAAGGCACCCTGCAGGATATCAGTCGCAGCTTGGAAGCATGTACTTCAACAGTTTAGGGTTTAGGGTTTAGGATTTAGAGTTTAGGGTTGCATTGCCCTAGATACCCTAAAAAGGGGGAATTATAATGCATTGAGGACCTGGTGGGTGCAAGAGTTCCTCCATTCACAATAGCTGCAGTCTTTCTTGTCCTGCCAGTCCAATTTGGTACTTGCAGTGGGTCATAGTGCGGAACCAAACGGCCAGCATGAGCAGATCTTAAATAACCCCTATACAATCCTTATAACCCATTATCCCTATGTAACCCCTATAAGCAGGAGAGCATCATCCAACAGACTATCTGGCGGCGCGCCTTGACAGGGAAACAAAAATCGCCAAGCAGCTGGGGACGCTTGGAGGTGGATTGGGTTTAGGGTCTAGGGTTTAGGGTTTTCGGTTTAGGGTTTAGGATTGTTATGCGTGGATTTTTTGGGAAAGGCATGCTTTATTTGGAGCAGCATTCGGTCCCCGGGCCCCGCAATATCGGGAGAGTTTTTGTTATGGTTTTGGACCGTGAGCATGGGCTGAAAGGTGTTAATCACGAACTTAGGCATCTAGATTTGCTCCAAACCCTAAAGCCCAAACCACCCTAAACCCTAAACCCTAAACCCCAAAAATGTTGTCCTTCTCGTAGAACTTTGACTGATGATGTTCACAACCCAAGTCCCTCCGTAAGGACCCTGAAGCCCCAAATGCCCAAAAAACCTAGACCCTTAAATGAGCTATAGTCTAAACTCCTTAAAAGGGGTTACATAGGGGATTATATAGGGGACTAGTATAGGGGTGATTAAGGGGATACACGGAGTTCAGACTATGGCTCAAATCTCCATACCAATCGCACCCAGAAGCCTAAACCCTGAACGGAAGGTGGGAACCACTTTATAGAGGTGGTCTATTCCGAGGGCAGTGAGCAGGTTGGTGTGTTTTTGGGCGAAGCCCTTTTCTACAAGGTTCCTGAAAATNNAATCCTAATATTTAGCTGGAATTACAATTTCTACTGGGGTTCCAAATCCCTTAGAGTTTTCCTCTTAGAAGATTGTATAAACCTTGGCCTTAAACTGTACAGCTGCCCTGACCCCAAGCATCGATGTTTACAGATGGTTGGCTAATGTACCAAGTCTCCGGACGGTTGTCTTCTTTCTCGTTGTGATGGTGACACCTGTTTGCCTCACCAAGAGTGAGATTCTTCTCGGGGTGTCTTCGGGAAATCCAGTTCATATGACCTGAGCAACGCCAGGCAATTATGGGGGTGTTTGGGCCGAAAAGATGGGCATAGTGGTTGTGGTTTAGGGTTTAGGGTTTAGGGTTTAGGAGAACATTGGGGTTGCGTTCTACACCTCCAGACGAGCCGGACCTTTAGCTGAGCCTTCACAACCCCACCAAGCCTTGAAGAACACCACGCGGAGGGAGTTCCTCAAAATCTCCCATCAATCCTGGAGGGGAAGGCCTGTAGTGCAGTATTCCCTCAATCTATATACATATACATATATGGATATATACATATATATATATAAAGAATCTCCCAAGTCAAGCACTCTTTGATGAGTCTGCAGGTGTGGTGTATGCTTCACAGTGGCAGCCGAAATGTCGGCAACACTACAGCATCCTTCTACGATCAAGTTGCTGGCAACAGGCTAGGCCATGATAAATCAGGATCTTTTTCAGGTACAGGACGGCGTAGATTATGAACCCTCCAAATCCAACTCTATATTTGATGGAATCCTATTATTCCTAGGGTTTAAATGCCTAGGGCCATGCAGGACTTCTCGACCGGTTGTGGACTAAATCTGAGTAGAACAGTCGCCGGATTCGGGTATGATACCTGATTCAGGGGCGTGGCTCTCAGAGGCCACGCCGGTTCTCTGAATTACCTGGAGATTGACAGTGCAGATGGCCAGGATTATTTGAAGGACATGCAGTGGTGTCGCCTGGGTAATTGTTGGTCACAGTTTTTTTGGGCTTTCTTCGTCTTGTTCTAAGATCCAGTAAGGAATGCGACATACGGCTTTTACCCATGTCTCGAAAAGGAACCAGTCTCTAGGATGGACAGATTAAAAGTCATGTGGAAGCAGTTTTGAATACCCAAGGTCAGGCATATGCCAGGGAAAATCGCAGAAGCATGTTGGATCTCATGGTTTCCTCCGTGGAGGAGGTTACTGGCAAACGAGCGGATATGTCCAGGGCCGTGAATGCTCATCACAACTTTTGCCAGTCATTTCCTCAGTTGTTTTGCTCGGAAGTTATGTAAGTGATTTTAATGCCGTTTGTCCAAGAAGTTCGGAGAGCCAAGGTGTGAAAAATGCCGGTTCTACGATCACAAAACTGGGGCCGTCAAAGCGCAGCTGCTGCAATCAGACCAGGTGCTGCAAACACTTACATTTTTCACCCCACAGAGGTGCAATGAGAATGTAAACTATCTAAGGAGAAAGACCTCTGGGTTACCCGCAAGGGTGCCACAAGTGCACGTGCGGGTCAGTATGGCATCATTCCAGGCAGCATGGGCGCCGCGCTCTCAGACAAACCAGCATGCAAATGCAAGCCACGACAGGTACAACCCAAATGCAAACTACTGACTACTGGCACGACCATGTTCACCGAGGGTCTATGAAGGGATTCCTGATACTGTAGTGAATGACTATTCCTATTCTCCTTAGCATCTTCTGCCGGAAGATGCCACACAGACACTTTGACAGTTTTCCAGGGCATCCAATGTAATCCCCCAACAGGGATCTCCCCCATCATTTGGTTCTAATCCCCCAAACCCATGCATCCCAACCCCCCGCCCCCCTCAATTTTCAGAACTCCTACCCGCTAAGCCCTATACCCCTATATCCTCAACCCTAAGCCCGTAATCCTCTAGATCCTCAGCCCTACCGGTTGTACTGTACATCTTGGCTTGAACTTGTGTGAGCGGCCCAGGTGGGAAGCTACATCGTCAAAGGGCGCGGAGCCAGAGGCTACTTGTGCGCCTTTTTTTTGGCTCTATGCATGTCTATTGGTATTTAGGGTTAAGGGTTTAGGGTACGTAGTTCCATCAGGATGTGGGGAATTATTCTGCTTTGGTTATATAAGGAAGTATTGAGTAGTATTTTATTTGGGGATACTATGGTACTCAATATAGAGTAAGATTATATCTTCCTTTTGGTTATAGTATTTTGTATAAGGAATATTATCTTACTAGGTTCAACCACCAAACAAAACACTACTCATCGGTATTGACTGGGTCGGCTTGACTCCGCCAGAGGCTCTTGGCAGAGCTGCTCTCACGGGGCTGGCAGGACTGCTTCTTTGGGTTGCTGGTAAGAAGTTTAAATTAAGTTGCCATGATATGGGTATATCCTGCTGTAACTCATAGGATTTCCTTGTTATACTATTTTAACGCTCCGTAACAGCAACCCCGTCTATGTTGGCGGCAGAAGCAGACCCGCTCTCATGTTTGTGCCTACGTAGGGTTTCGGGCTTAGGGTTCGAAATCAACAAGAAGCGCTAGATGCAGTTCAAGGTGGCAGACACCTGTCCATGGGGTCCCAAATCCGGGTCAGGCTTTGCTTTTCCAAAGATGACGTTCCGTCTTGTATTTCAAAGGACCCACAAGGCAGGTTTTCATGAGTTTGGATTATTTCTCAGTAGTGTTGACTATAGTATTTGGGGCTCTTTATTGGGCCCCCCAACCTATGAAACGTACCATGCTCCCCCCGCTATCCCAATAGATCCCCAACAAGAGGGGAGTTGCCACTTCTTTTCCATTCCCCCAGTATAACTTGAAGATCTAAATCCAGTTTCCATGCCATTTTGCCTTTGATTTCCATTTGATTTTCCATTTTGGGAGTAGCAATCACCCCAAACCCTGGCGGACCCAAATATAGGCCCCCAAACACTATAGTCCACTTTACAGGGACCCCTCAAGAGGTACTCATAATTTTGGGAAACCCTATGTCGCCATGTAGTATGTCCCGAGAGTCGGCCATGTGGCACGGCAAGCACCGTTTGCTGGCCTCAGAAGGAGATGTGGAACACAGAATTAAGGGTTAAGGGTTTAGGGTTTAGGGGTAAGGCTGCTCTACGAGGGCATAAAGGGTTGAATGGGGGTATTCTATGGGCGTTATAGTAGCCCAGTAAGAGAAAAGAAATAGGAAAAGAACAGGGGACGTCACATAGAAATTGGGGTTATATATGGATTCGGGACCTTGAGTTCAGTTACCATAGTACCGATATATTGAATGATGCAATTTCCTCATCATGATAAGATAGTTGAAGTTCCTTAACAGTAAGCTTGACAACTAAGGGTCCGACAAATTTAGGCAACCTGCGTATTATCCCCTAGAATCCTGACTCGTTAGCAGGGACCTAAAGAACCCATGTGTATTTCGCATACAGCCTTCAGATCTCAGGCAACAAGACTGTTCCCTCAAGCCTTTGGACACGCCTGAATCATGAAAATTGTCGCAGCTGCCATAGGATTCATGTTTCGGTACTTGTAGCTTATCCTATGCAAGCCCTACACCCTAGCCCATTCCAGCATTCTTGAGAGGCACCCTTGCAATCCTTCTTTAAGCTGGTGTGCTGTTACCAGCCATTAAAGTGTAAATATGCCTTTTTTGAGCTGAACTCCAGAGAAGTGGATCTGTAGTCATGACTTCGAGGTTCCCAAATGGACCCTACATCATGGTCATAACCCTTAAGATCCTGCGGTCATCCCGGTGTAATCTCCATGTACCCCTCGTCTCCCTAAGCGCCCTTCATTGTGTGAAGTCCTAAGTGCTACAGCCTAGACTCGCTAAACCCTATAACTCCCAAACCCTAATTTCCTACAAGCTGCTTAGAGGAGAATGATGTGTTGTCTTGTGGTACTAATGGTACTAGGAATAATGATACAAGTACATTAATAGTAATGAGAATCCCCAAATGAGCAGTATTTCATTAGGGGATACTATGGTACCCAATACAGAGTAAGATTACGTCGTCCTTTTGGGTATAGTATTTTATATACGGAATATTACCTTACTAGGTTCAACCACCAAAAAAACACTACTCAAATAGCAGGACCATGTCCAGGACGAGAGCCAAAAAGATCATTCCGCAGGACTGCTGAGGGCAGCCTTGGGGTTCCTCCTAAACCATCTAGGGTTTAGGGGTTCAGTATAGTTTAGGGTTTAGGGTTTAGGGTTCAGGATGTAGTGTTTAGGATTTAGGATTTAGGGTGTAAGGTTTAGAGTCTAGGGTTTGCGGTTTGGGGTCTAGGATTT